CAACAACATATTTTTGAAGAGCAAATGTGTGTGTGTGTATTGTGTGTATTCCCTCTAACCCCCACTGGCCGGCAGTGTTATTATGGAAGAACTCTCTCTACAATGTCGCATTTATGGTCATTGTAGACAGCTTTAGTCCGGGAGTTAGAAGGTGATAGCTCTATTGCAGATCGAGCAACCCATTTCAGAATGTCTGGAGAGTCACGCCCATTCCGAGGTTACTTTCACTTCAATAAGCCCCGCATGTATGCATCACCGTTATCAAATAGATATTGGTATTACATACACACTTCCAGGTTCGAAAATATTCTTTTCAACCCTGGCATGTATTTAGTGTAATTTTGATATTTATTTATTTTTTTAATAAATGTAAAGCTCTCACCATATTCTGCTCTTCCGCCGTCGTTATTTGCTTCTTTTGGAATCCCTTGGACTTTTTCTCTAACGCTTCGTATTTCATTCCGTGCTTCACCGGCAGTTTCCTTCCGTAGACCGTCCTTGGTTGGTTGGTTCTAATATGATTCTGCCTTTTTTGGTCGGTTTGATGTCCACCATATGTTATTGAATTGCCATGGTGATCTGGGACGAGGCTCACGTCCAAAGTCACTGGTCCATCGAGCGTTGATGCGTTGAAGAGCAATTGTACAGCAAAATGAAAACAAAATTAGGTATCATATTTGTCAATTGCCGAAACAGAAATCTAATTATGATTTCAGTTTGATGTTGATATCAAAACTTGATTTCAATTTGCTGTCATTTTGATGTTGGACTTTGCTCGGGAACTTACTTGGCACAAACCATTTTTGTTCATTGTTTTCTAGCCTTTTTTCCATATACTGTTAACTGTTAGTTCTATTAAATTTTCTCAGCTACAGAAGATTGTTTTTCAGCCAAACTTCAAACTAAGTAGATATTAATTGTTTAAGAGATTGATAATCTTATCGCATGATTAAGCAGCTGTATTGTGGGCAACACTGTACTCTGTACCCGAGCAAAGTCGGTTAACAAAATGAAAGCAAATCGAAATTAAAGTTTGCAGTTCCTATTATAATGAAAACTCATTTTGATTTCAATTTTCGCGACAGAAGTCTGATATCATATTGTGCTTTCATTATGCAGTCAAGACTTTTTAAATCAAAGCATCTTAACTTGAAATTCTGCTGTTAATTTCTTCTTTAAAATTTGATTTAAGTTCATCTGTTGTTGAACTAATAATCGTTAGTTATTTGTTTTGTTTAACACATTTCAGGTCATTCGTGACTAGGCCGAGGTGACATTTGAGCTCAAATCTTTCAGCGTGAGAAGCATGGATGCTAACCATTTAGGACAGCCCCGTATTCAGTCAAACATTATGAATGCAAAATCAGTAATCAAATTGATTTTATTGAAAGCAGAATTAGTTTTTCGTTTGATTCAACAGTGTAAAATTTTGATCTCATTTTTGCTGTGTTAACCGTTAAGTCAACCAAAATGAGATCAAATGGAGTATTCAAAATAAGTTACATCATAACAGCAAATTCTGATTTCAATTTGATCTCTAACTTTGCTCGGGTAGTGTGGCATAGTAGTCATGATTTTTGTCTTTTATTCTTCGCGCCAGAAGCACCAATGATGCCTGCTGAAGAGTTCAAGACCAACAATTGAAATGGCCTTGACTCCATTTTGTAAACAAACCTTGTAAGGCCATTTTTGCGCAAACCGAAGTCCGCAAAGGCAAACCAACATAATGAACAGGTAGGGGAAGTTATCCTCTACCCGATTGTGGTTCAGGTTTGTGAATAAAGGTTTCGGTTCGCGAGAAAATGGCCTTGCAAGGTTTGTTTACAAAATGGAGTTAAGGCCATTTCAATTGTTGGTCTTGAGTTCATTGAACATAATCATAAGACAACAGTAACTTGAATCATTAATAACTTTTGTTCGTTACATTTTATTGAAAAATGGTCTTTAAATAAGTTATAGCTGAGACAATTTTCAACAAGCGCATTTTCTAACGCAGAGTAAACTGGTGAATTTTGAACCGAAATGATGGTTTTCCCATAATAAGTGGTTTGTGCCAAGTCAGTTTCTTACTGAATGAGTTCAAATTTTGGCAGGCTAATCAGGACCCAATTTGGAATCGGTTGAGCACTGTGCAGCGAAAATTTCAAATTTTGTATCAGTCTATTGACCATTCAATGGGAGTACAGGTATACCTCGTTATAACGTCACTTTTGACTTCCATCGCTGATTACTAGCAAACCATCATTCAAACAAACAAAGTGATAACACCATCGGACAGATGAGTTAATCCCCCATCTATTGTTAATAATAATTTGTATGATTCAATTGTTATTAGGGAGATATTGACGATGGAAGTCAAAAGTGACAGTTACGTTACATCGAGGTATACCTGTATTATCAAGGTGGACTTTTAAGTTACCAGGCGGGACAAGCCGAGGTGAAATGGAGTGCGGAAATAATCTGTGTTTTAGCTACATTGATACAAATCTACCAGCTTTTGAAATAGTTGGACAGAACATCCAGGCCTGATCAGAGTTTTTTCGTCAGAGCACGGATCACTCGACCTTTATTGATGATGGCAGTGTCATCCGCAAACATTGACAAAATACCACCACCCGGAAGGGGAGGAACATCTGACGTGAAGATGTTGAAGAGGGTAGAACTATAGTCGCTGTATTCATAGTCTGGCGGATAGAATCTCGGGAACCAATTGAGCTGTAAACAGCGGAACCAATCGAGCAAATCACGACCAACAACAGAAAATAACACATCAGCTATTGCAAACAAAACTTCGGAAACCTTTTTCTCGTGACTCAAGGCTCGCCTACGCAAACTAACACCATGCCGTTCGATTAGCGAGGAAAGAATAATCAACGTTTTGTTTATAAAAGTTGATAGTACCTTTTCAATTGTTGGTCTAAAATATATTGAATTGGTTCCGCTTTTTGATAGATCAAAATTCTATCCACCAGAGTATGAATTTGGCGACTATAGGTAGAACCAAGTAGGCTACCCTGGTGAACCCCAGAATCAACGTTGAACGTATCAGAAGGCGTATTGTTTAAGAAAACCTGGAATGATCCGACAAGTAGTTTTTGATAATCTTGACAAGTAAGATCGAGAAATTGTATTGATGCAGCTTGTACACTAGGCCATCATGCCAGACATTGTAAGGTTTGATCCAAATTCTGATTAGAAGAGGAAAAAGGAGCGATGGGCGTCGGCTTATTTCTTTAAATCTTTGCCAGTTTCCAGAATGGCTTGGCACAATCTGGTAGAGAGCAAATCTTGTTTGCAAAATCGATATTTCTGACATCCACCATCCTTGGATGATTTTGTTCAAACAGTTTCAGTTGGTCTTCAGGGCAGCCCACACCGTTCGAAAAATTCATGTAAATTTCTGCGAGATATAGCGCACATAAAATAAACGCTAGATTTGGCATAAACTTACGCGATATTTTGTTTAAATTTAAGCGCAATCGCGTATAAATTAGGAATATTGTATGCAATCTTGTAAACGATTTCACTGTTTATGCCAATTATAGCTCAAAATTAAACGAAGGGAGATTTTACGCGATAGTTAAAATTCAGAATTATTTTCTGTGCAGTCCGCTGGTACCATAGAGGTAACTCTAAGACTAGAAGGTCCCGAAATAACGTGCTCAACTTTTTGGCTCAGCTCTGGTACTCTCTTCGGTCCCAAGCTAATCGATTCACCCTTTTGAAACATAGGGAAAATCAATAACCCCTCATTTTATCAGTAAAAACTTTCATAGCGAATCAAAACAAACAGTGCGTAGTACTAGAATTTCGGCTAGAATGGGGTACGTTAATCGTTTGCTAGGGACCAATAGGCTAGTCAAGTAGTGAGCCAATTTAAAATCGTTAGTTTCGTATTGATTGTTGCTGGTACTGCCTACGAATCGTTTTGCGGAGTCTAATGAGGTCTTTAGTGGGCCTGTCAAGGTTCAGAGTATTACTCACCTGTCTGGATACTGGAACATGTTGCTCCCTGGCCCGGTAAATCACTTCATTGATGGAGCGCAGACACCGGTCGATGTCGTCGTTCGTTTTCCGGCCGCGATGCTTGGAACTTGTTGACTGAGGAACCTCTACTTCAGCCACCACCGGATAGTGGTTCGAGTTGATTTCCTGATACACGACAGGTTGCTAGATGTTGTTGCCCATGTTTCTGATGTAGATATCGATGGTGGCGTTAGCACCGGACCTACTCAACCGGGTGGGAGTGTCCGGACTCAATATGTTGTCCTGCGCTTCCTGTAGATTGTGATGGAGCCGTTTTGATGGCGCCAACTGTTGCCCCAAGCTTGATGTGTTGCGTTCATGTCGCCAGCGATGATATATTTTTGACACCGCCGAGTCAACTTGATGATATCTTGTCGAATGTCCGCTGCCGACCCATCATCCCTGTTGTTGACATTTTTTCCGTCGATCTTGTTTTCCGTGCTGAGCACCAATGCTACCGACGCCAGGGAGGCATCTCCCACAACTATCGACCTATCAACTCATGAACCAGGAACCGTGATCAGACATGTTATGCCTCAGAGCATCCCAGCGGCGTCGACTGGGATTGAACCCAGGCCTGCTGGGGTGAGAGGTAATCACGCTTACCACTACACCACCGCCGCCGCTTTATTGTTGACTTGTATTGGGCAGTAAGCCGCAATGATGGTGATGGGGCCAAGCGATGTGTCGACTTCAACCCCGATGGCTTCGATAATTTTGAGTTGGAAATTCGACAACAGGTGGCAGTTGATGTTACGCCTCACAGCAAAAGCTGGTTCTGTCGAGTCTCAAAAGCCGAAAGTCCGATTGGTAGATGTTGACTTCCAAGTTTAGATGGGTTTCGGTGATGATGGCAATGTCGATCTCCTTGGCGTTAAGGAAGTCAAGCAGTTCGATATGCTTGTTCTTCAGCGTTCCAATTTGCAATCTTTATAACTTCACGGTCCATACTTAGTGACAAGGGACAAGGCAGCATGAAGCTGTTCAGATCGAGTCTTGCAGGTGCGCTGGATGATGATGACCTCTGCCACGAGGGTCACAAGTTCCTCCGAGGTAAATGGGGAATCGTCGACGGACTCACGTGACACAGCACTGTCATACGATAAACCAGGGGCAGTGGAGGGACCTTAGTTCGGCTGGGCCGCTGCAGCAGTGACGCGATGCTGGGCTTATCGGCGACTGGGGGCCGCTTGCTCTGTTGGAGAATACCCAGTGGGGGTGCTCCATATCGAAAGAGTATATTCGTTTTATTTAGTGTTTGTGCATTTAAGGTTCATGGTTACCGAGAGTACCGTACGAAAAATGAATGTAAATTTCAGCGGTATATAGCGCACGCGTTATTAACGCTAGATTTGCGTAAATTTAAACGATATTTCATGTAATTTGAATTGTAATAACGCATAAATTATCAATTTTGTATGCAAGCTTGCAAGCAAGTTCATTGTTTATGTCAACTATAGCACAAAATTAAACGAGCAGAGAATTTACGGAAAAAAATCATTTTTTTTTTTTCTGTATGGTAAGGAATAGTTCCAATGCAATAATGATGTAAATATTTCAACTTATGGTTATCAAAATTAGCAATTATAAGTGTGTTTGTCACTTCGCATTGAATGAGTATTCTGAGAGAGGGCTTCCAGAAACGGTTCTGGAGAGGTGTTACTCCTGCCAGAACCTCGAGACTCACGTTATATGTTGAGTGCATATAGCCGAGAGCAATACGCAGACAACTATATTGAATTTGTTCGTACTCTAGAACAGAAAGAGGGTTATGAGGACTCCAATATAAGCACCCCATCATGTGCCCCAAATTGAACGGAGAAAGTTGATTCTCTGCTAACATTCTTACTTCAAATACGTAATGTGGGTATTCCAAGCGCACTTTGAATCAAACCAGATCCCAAGGTACTTTAAAGGCAATGATTGAGTAATGTTTCTGCCCAAAAGATTAAGCTGCATTTGGGCTGGGTACCGCTTTCGAGTAAACACTAACAGTTTAGTTTTCGGCGGCAAGAATTCGATCCCTAGATTCCTAGCCCAAGAAGACAAGGTATTTAAGGAACTTTGCAATGGTCCATGCAAGTCCACGGCATGTGGATCTCTTACGGCAACCACACCGTCATCTTCAAGTTGTCTTAGCGTGCATTGTTCTGCCAAACAGTCGTCGATATCTTTGTCATAAAAAATATAAAGAAGAGGGCTGAGACATTCATGGGCAGGCCCATGTAACTAATTCTGGAAGTTGCCAGTTGTCCAAGAGAAAAGTTCATTTGCTTTCCTGATAACAAATTGTACAATAAATTATTTAAAATTCCAGGAAGTCCACATCTGTGCAGATTTTCTGACAGAATTTCAATGGAAACTGAATCAAAAGCCCCCTTAATGTCCAAGAATACTGTGAAAAGCAGCGCCAGACAATCGTTTGTTCCTTTGCTCTTGCGGAACACAAACTGTGTGTTTAATAATAATAGTGTTTAAGACTTTTTAAATTTGATTTTAGAACAAAAATACTGCCAGTACTGAAATTACCGGTAAACAACCCTAATGAAAATATGGTTTATGATCAAAAATAATGATAAAACTCCGTGGTCAAGTACTCCCAACTCTACTTGACCCCGTTTTGCGGTATACTATATACTTGTGAAAATATTACGAAGAGTGTTTAATTTGACATTCGATTTCGTGAAACTGTGCCTCCAACTCGGTGATATCCAACCCGTTTGCTCTCTGTGTCAAAGTTAACCCATTTCCTCAGGCTTTCACGTAGAATCAACTACCTGATTCAGGCATCAAAACGACCGTCACAATCCGCTCACATCACTCTCTCTACATCATACTCACCGTCAATCATCAATGAATATGACGTGGGCTATCCGTCTAGATTACCGAGGAAAGATTATGACTACAACTTTCATTCGTCTCCCCAATTCCATCCATCTCCATTCTATTAAGTTGCTGTTTATAGACTCCCGTCACTGGCCGATGGCACGCCACCGCCCGCCACCGGCTCGAAGATACAGGTTTTCCACGCGACGAAAGCCAGTTTCCAAAAGCTATTTTTCTCTCGCTATTCTACCCCTAAGTGTCGAATCGCTTATGCGCCGATTTGCAAACCCCGAGCCACGATCCGGACCATGAAAGAGTCTGTATAATTTACTATTCGAACCGATCAACGCACACGTGAGCATGGCCGCGTAGAATCACCATGCCATGCCGTAAGCCGTCGATAATGATTCATAGCAAACAACACTCTCTACAACAGCCAAGATCCAGTGAATGTGTATTTGTTTGCGAAAGAAATATTTCGTCATTTACGTTGAGTACGATATTTTTACGACGATTTTCAAGGGAGTAAACAGGCTTTAGTTTTAAACATTTATCTTTAGAAGTCGCATCTGATATGTTGGCAGTGGACACAATTTCATCGAACAGCACCACAATAAAATCTAAGGAATTAGTATTCACTTAATAGTTAATTTATTTCAAATCATCAATATTAAAATTTAAATTCCTTTCCGAACACTTATTACTAACTCCTACAGAAGTCTAATGTTAATACCATCTTATCTGCTCAAACGCAAAGAATTGACCCACTATTTAGTTGCACCAATTGCCAAGCTAATTGCTTCATAACACGCTTTTTTGCCCTTTTCGGCGGATTTTCTAACCGAAATCAGGTGAGCAGGTTTCACCCCGGACAGACTAGACGCGACAGCATCGTACTGGCGCACCGGCACGTGAATCAAGCATTCCACATGGTGGACTTACGAGCGATTAACCCACCTTTCAGCGCGCGTTGCTGGCTGGCGTTCGCTCATTAATTGATACCCCACGAAATTGCTCCCCATTGCTCTGCAGCGATTATGTCGACTGCTGTTTTTTTGTAGATTATGTTTTTTTAAGACGTAAGCTAAAGCATTACAAAGCGATTTGAATAGTTGCCGTTCGCGGTGTGATTAGGCTGTTTGCATCTGATCTGCGCGGCCTTAGATGAAGAATTTAGTATGAATTAGGTTTTTTTGTGGTCGGTCAGCTTTTCGGTGGATTTTTATCGCTGCTGTTTTGGTTTATTGCGAATGGTTCAGTCATTATAAAAATGATGTCATCGGAATGATCGGGTGATTTGTATTATGCAAAAGCACACAAAATATGATGGGAGAATCATTTTTCGAGTGGTGGTGTTTAACTGATATTTCTGCCATGTGTTTTGGTCGTTCAAAATATTGAGGGTCATTTCAACTTCCTTGTGTATCATTCCCATTTATTATTGGACCATTTTGATTTTTTAAGGAACGTTTCGTATCTTTTTAAGCGTGAACGGCAACCATGAACCATAGTTTGTTCACGGTCCATGCGTAAAAGGAAATTTGCACCGTGAACTATAGTTCACGGCTCTCATTCACGAATATGGGAACGGATTTTGTTTGCATCTAGAAGCTACGACTTGATTACCTCTCACCCCAGCATCCCTGGATTCAATCCCAGTCGGGGGGGAAGTAAAGTCGTTGGTTCATAAGTTAATGGGTCGATAGGTAGGGTCCAGGTGTGGGAGCTGCCTCCCTAGCGCTGGTAGCATTGGTGCTCAGCACGGAAAACAAGATCGATGGAAACAAATCAAGAGAAAAAAAGAAGCTACGACTGAAGAGATTGATTTCAGGGAATGTTGTATAACTTCAAGAAACCTCATAAATCTTCAGAAATGTCATTGCATCTTAGAAAACTTTTTAGAACTTCAGGAACGGTGTAGAAGTTCTGGAGATTTTCTAGAATTGCATCAAACTATATATTGCTATAATTGTAAAAGCTCAGCGAACTTCATAGAAATCCAGTGAAATTCATTAAATTCAAAGAACTTCGTAGAAATGTAAATTATTTAGTAGAACTTCAGCAAACTTTCAAAATATTGGTGGAAAGTTGGAGAAGCTCTATAAAGTTTTCCCCCTTTTTCTTTAGCTTCATTGAGTTTCTTTAAACTTTAGTGGCTTTGGACATGTTCAAGTGAAATCGTAGAAATTCTTGGAGCATGATGAGCATGAGCATGATTGACCACTCGCTATTTCCAGATCATCTGTAATTACACAGAGAATCGATAGACGTTGCTTGGGACTGGTAAACGGCTGGACAATGCGTACCATTGATACTTCGCGTATCTGCAGGTATAAAATAGACCCCACTAGTGGTCCTTAGCCTCTTGTCTAGTAACTACTATCCCTACCTTCCCGCGGGGCCGGCTGGGGTACGAGTAACCATAGGGAAAATTGGGTAACCAACCCCGGTGAGACCTTGGACGTACACTGACAGGGAAGGGGGGGACTCCTCTCTCCGAAGAGTGCAGTCTTCGAGCGTCTGTTCACCATGGAGGTGCGGCTCAAAAACGGCGTCTGTTCTCCATGTTAGGAGCGGCTGATCAACGTCCTGGAGGCAGCGTGGGACTCTAAACCGTGCGGTGCACGATGGTCCCCGGCGAGACAATGGGGGTTGGTGCAGGCCCTACAAGCCAGCCGTAAAAAAACAAAAGTACAGGAAGCAAGCAATGTAAATACGGACCGGAACAATCGGCATAGATCCAAACAACGGAAACGGACTAACGATTGGAAACTCGGAACATGAAGCTGCAAGTCTCTCAATTTCTTGGGAAGTTCCCGCATTCTTTCCGATTTATTGAGGGTCCACAAGTTCGACATCGTAGCGCTGCAGGAGGTTTGCTGGAAGGGACCGTCGGTACATACGTATAGGGATGGTTATACCATCTACCAGAGCTGCGGCAATACACATGAGCTGGGTACAGCTTTCATCGTGATGGGTGAAATGCAGAAGCGCGTGATTGGGTGGTAGCCAATCGATAGCAGAATGTGCAAGTTGAGGATCAAAGGCCGTTTCTTCAATGTGAGCATAATCAACGTGCACATTAGCAAGTGACGATGACGATAAAGACGCTTTTTACGCGCAGTTGGAACGGGAATACGACACCTGCCCAAGCCATGACGTCAAAATCGTCATCGGAGATCTTAACGCTCAGGTCGACCAGGAGGAGGATTCCGATTATCGGAAAG